AGCGCACGCGAGTTTAAGATACAAATCAGTGCAACAGCCATTGCGAGTCATCGAAATACCCCTCACCTCTCATCGAAGCACCATCGCAACTTGCACGGATGTCCATCTTAAACTTCAATGCGGGGAGCTATGTGTGATGCTTGTGTTCTCGAAGACGGCTGCGCGACTGCACGCGTTCTGCCGCCTTTGATTCACCACCTCCCTTGCTGATCGTTTCTGGATGGGCTGGTGGGGGTGCTTTTTTGATTGGCGGCTCCAAGGAGGAGTCCAGGAAGCGGGGCGGGCGCGTCTGGGGCACAGGGCGAGATAATTTGTTACGAAGGCGCCTAGGCCAACGTAACAGGTGCACCTGCAGGCAAAATGCCCCTCATTAAGCTGCGAGCCACCCGTGAACGGGAAAGCAAGCACCAGACAGGCATAGACGGAGAGGAGTCGCGGCGCGATCCGACGTGAGCCAACGACCATTGCATTGACGTCGAAACAGCCGCAGTGTCTGCACCTTGACTGCCTGACCCGGGGCATGGACCACTTGAGCAGTACCAGGAGCGCGATGATGGCTCCCGCCCAGGGGTGAATCACGTTGTCGGCGAACAGCGCAGGCAGCTTACCCCGAGGGGTGGACGGGGGGGGCAAGCGGCGTGCGTCAATCGGGGGCCGTGGTGGATCAGAAGGGGGAGCGTCGACAGACGAGCAAAGGGTGCACCACTTGCCGTGCCGCATTTATTCCGGGCCCAGCCCGCGGTAGCGCCGGGGCAGGCAGGGGCCCGAGCAGCCAGAGAAACACCAGGTGGCAGTGCAGCCCGCTCTCGCCACGGAGCGCTGCGGGAGATCCGCCAGGTGGTGCGTCGACCCGAGTGCTCCACGAGCCTCGGTGGGGGGGAAGTCGCGCGCGGCCGAACCCGCAGGAGGAGGAGAGGGGGGGGGAGGAGGAGACGCAGCCGATAGCCGCAAAATCAGTTGAATGAATGGAGGAGGGGGAGGCGTCGCCACAGCGAGTGCAACGAGACCCAGGCCGCTGTGATCGCACCGCGCGATGCGGGGGACCTCGGTCGCGGGGGGAACAGGGGCTGGCGGGGGTGCGCGAAGCGTCAAGAATTGCTGAGGGGCGGCGGAGCTGACGCCGAGGGGCGTCCAACATTGCTGAGGGGCGGCGGAGCTGACGCCGAGAGGCGTCCAGGAAAACAGAGACAAATCCCGCATCATTTGTAAGTCGAGAATATAACAACGTCCCGCATCACTTGTAAGCTGATGAGAAGACAACAACATAAGGAGAAGAAGGGGCCTTCTTGGGGTTGTGTTGAAGGTCGGAGCCTGCAGGATCCCCCGCGCTTGCAAGCCTCTCCTGCTGGGCTATCTTGGGGTCCTCTTGGGGCCGGCTCGGAACGACTGAGCTTATTGGAGCCTTCTTGTGGATCGTATTTCTTGTCTGGTCCCCGACCTTGCGAACCTGACCTCAAGCCTTACGTGTTGGGCCCCCATTCGAGGCTCGATTGGGGCCTCCTTCGGGTGGCCTCTTGGAGCCTCGTTGGGCGGGGACTCTTGGAGCCCCTTGGAGCCCTCTTGGAGCCTCTTGGAGGCTCTGTGGGTCCTCTCGGAGCCTCTTGGAGCCTCTTGGGGGCCCAGACCTCCACGAGGCAATGGCGGGGCTTGCCAGCCAGAACAGCCAGAGGCAGAAGGGGCGCAGCTCGGGGCTGACAGCGGACAGAAGCACAAGGGACAACAGCGATATTGTTGTCCAACGCGGGCTTGTCCTGCGTTAGGTCACTGGCCCCCCTGCAAACGCATTGCAACGCTGGCGGGCGATTCGTCACGTGCACGCGTGCTACCGCATGGCACCAGAAAACAGCTAAACCCCCCCGCTGTCTTAAATGCGCCACGTTCCTACAGACTGCACCCCGCGCCCTCTCAAGTCCGACTGCCCTGCTCTGAAGCAAGGCCACGCAGATGCGATGCGCCATTCGGAAGCTGATTGGGCGATGAGGGTAACTTTCATAATCCCACCAGCCCTTTGGGCGACAGGTGGTCTAACGAGATTCCGCTTCCCTCTTCCAACAACCCCTTCTTCCCTTTCGGGAAAGGGCTCTCCCCTGGACCTGGACGGAGGGTTTCGCGAGGGGTTGGAGGGCCCTTTTTCGGACCATGCGAGTGCTATTTTTTGAAACCCCTCACAAAGATCGTGGCCCCCCGAGGGGGGGCCGAACGGTGGCGCCACCGACCGCCTCCAAGATGGCCCCAAGAGGCCCTCCAAGGCTCCCCAGAAGCCCCCAAGAGGGCCCCAAGAGCGCGCCAAGAAGCCCCCAGCTGGCCCCAGGACGGCCCGAGAGACTCCCAAGACGGCCCCAAGAGGGCCCAAAGACGGCTCAAGAAGCCCCCAAGGGCGCCCCAAGAGCGCCACAAGAGAGCCCCAGATGGCCCCAAGACGCCCAAGATACGACGGCCAAAATGGCCCCACGATGTTTCCAAGACGGCCCAATATGCACCCAAGACGGCCCAAGATAGCCTCAGGATGGCCCAAGACGGCCAGATATTGTCCAGGCGAACAGGCCGAAGGCCGATATATTGAGCGCCAGAGCCACAATGCTCGCCACAAGGAACGTCGTCACGCGAGTGATCAGCGGCCACATTCGATGACTGCATGTAGCTACTGCTAGAACCTGCGCCCTCGAAATAGCCGCCCCACTCGCAGCTGGGATCGTGATAGGTAGTGATGCCTGTGGGTTCAGCGCACAAACACCTGTTCGTCGATGAATATCCAGCGCCTCCGCCGGGCGTCTCCTGCCAGCCCGGTCGGCCCAGCATGTGGTAGTTGCACCAGTAGGTCCAGGGGTCGCTATATAATCCACCTGCCCATGCTGCGTCTTGCTCAGCGCGGGGCCCCTCTCTTGGCGCTCGCCCACCATGGCGCCCATGTATGCGCATGCGGTCTCGAATTTCCTGGAATGCACCGTGAAACATGTTGCAAGGGGCCCGTATGGTCAGCATGCGCCCTTTTCCTCGATCGCGTAGCGTGGCCCAACATCCCGTCGCCTCAAACACCTCGCGCTGGTCTGAATAAGTTATCGTGCCAGAGGGCACGTGCATGGGCCCTAGCTTCCCTGGTGGAGGAACGCCCTCGGGGGGCAAAGGTTTTGCCGCCATGCCTTGAGCCAAAAAGGCTTCGCTCGCAGCGAGACCGCTCCAAAGACGGCGGCGAAACAGCCCCCAGAGAGGCCGAGAGAGGCCAAGATATCCCCGAAGCCAACCGACGTTTGAGACCCCAAACGGCCTTCAAGAGGGCCCCGAGAGGTTTCGATGATGTCCCGAGAGGGTTCCCTCCCCAAGAGTGCGGGCGCTCGCGCTAGTTGCGCCGCTGTGACAGAGGCCCCGAGAGGGCTCCAAGAGGGCTCCGAGAGGCCCAAGGGGATCCCTATGAGGTCCAGAAGGGGTGTAGGCAATTTCGGGGGCCCAGGGGGTCCCAACGGATTTTGCAAGTCACTCTAGGGCGCGAGGTGGTCAGACCAGCACGGCAGACCATCGCGGCGCGGCAGCGCGCACGGCAGGCCAGCACAGCAGACCAGCACGGCAGACCTCGATCTCGCGATCAAAACATCGCCCTTGTCAAGACATGGTCCCATAACTGTATCTTCCCAAGCGCGCAGGGGGGGGGGCTGACGGGAACAATCAGCTTTTGGCGCCGTCGTCGTCGGCGTCGTCGTCGTCGTAGCCGCATTGGATCAGGCCGTGCAGAGGCCCCTTGGAACCCCCGGCGGCCCTCTTGAGTCCCACCAGCCCTCTGGGCGCAGGTGGTCTAGGGCGTTTCCTTTTCCAACCTCCTGCATTTCCCTGCTCGGGAGGTTTACCCCCCCTCCCTGGGGGTCATGACGACAACGGAGGTCCAAATGCCCCCACTGTGCAAGAGGACCCCGAGAAACCCAGATCCCAAGACACGAACATATTCCCCATGGTGCTCCCGGGAGCCTCCCAGGGGGGTGAGAGGAGGGGACTCTCCAACAACGTTGTTTGGAATACTCTGCTGGCTTCGATCGTCCCCACTGCGCCCTTGACCCATAACCCAGGCACAGTGGCGCGATGGGCCGAAGGCCGTTACATCTACGCACGTATGCGCATTCGTGTGTTCGGATGAGTACGAGCATCAGTAACCCTTGTGATGTACGTGCGCTCAGCTCCCTTGCCTTTCCTTCATATTGCGAAGCGACCTTCCCGAACGATTCATATACGCCCCCAATTCATCAGCCATTAATTCCAGTGACAAGGTTGAAGGTTCTGCTACGGTGCCTCCTTCTTCCCCACCCCATACTCGTTTCTCATTCTCCTCCTGCTGCTCACGAACATTTTTGTTGGTAATCTGAAAGCTACGGCCGAGGTCAGCGTCTCGAAATCAAAAGGCTGGTCCCTAATGCAATCTTAGCAGGATCAGGTTGAATGCACTGTGAGGAGGGTGTTGTGGAGGATAGTGATACAAACAGGAGTATGTGGAGGAACGGGGAAGATTGCGCGAGGGTGAGAAGGGCGCGAGGAGGGACACTCCAGGAGCCTCTCAGGTCGACAACTCGCTGCCATCGTTCGAAACCCTGCTGGACGCATGCTTCGGGGCGCTGTTGGCCTCCTCGGCGTCCCGCATCTCCTGCATTAGCATCACCTCCCGCAGCAGCCGGGGAGAAAGATGAGGCAGAGGATAGAAGGGTCAGGATGATGATGACGACGACGATGATGATGATGGTGATGATGATGAGGAGGAGGATGAGGAGGAAGGAGGCATGTTGAAGTCTGGTATGATGATGAAGGCGTGGACGATGACGAAGGCGACGAGGATGTTGAGGGGGATGAGGAACGACAAGGCGGAAGAGATGAGGGGTATGACGGGGGGAGAGGTCTAGTCGAAGCGGAGCCCGCGCCTTCGCAGACCACAACCGTCGATGGGCGCATGCCTGGAGCGGTTGGGATGGCGAATCCGACCGACGCTCCCCCGGAACTGGCGAGGGTCCTGCCCAACTTCGGCGTACGTACGGGGAGACTGGCGTCGCCACCTCGTGCTCGCGCCAAATGGGCGGGTGGGCGGAAAAACGCGCCCCTCGTGCGTGCGCAATCGGACGAATCCCATGACGGGCAGCGCGCGAAACGCTGCGGCGCTCGCGCGAGCGCAAAGGGGACGTCCTCTTTGCCATCGGCAGCCGTCCTGCAGCAAACGTTAGCACATGCGAGCTTGAGGGGAGAGCGCGCTGCCCCGACTCCGCCCCGCGCCGAATTGCAGACGGGGCGAGACTGAGACGTTGCGTCGAGGCTGAGCCCGCGCCTACGCGCGGCAAATCTGTCGACTGGCGCGTGCCCAGACCGGCGGGGGGCCGTCGAGTCGGCGGCGCGGAGCGGACCAGCCCCGCCTGTGCTACCCAATGCTTGCCTCGGCGCAACGGCGCCGACATCGCGCACTGTCCTCGCACGCTGGCTGTAGAGGCCTGGCTTGCCCGACCTCTGGTGTGGCGGGCACTGGGCGCAAGGGCCCGCGCATCCGCCCAGGGCCCAGTCGCGGGTGATGCGACAGTGTGCCCTGGCGGCGGCACAGCGCCGTCCCTTGCGACCGCGCGCGGCGGCCGCGCGCGACGCCCGCCGCGCGCGGCTCGCGAAAAGCTCGCGCTCGCGCCTGCGGCCGCCTCTGGTATCGGTCTCAGCGCACTGGTGTCATACGCGCACCCGGACTAGACCTCGCGGCTCGCGTGGGGGTGCTGCCACCTGCGCAACTGGCGCTATTTTCGTGGGCAGCGCAGTGGTGTCATACGCGGACCCAGTCAAGACTTCGCGGCTCCCTTAGAATGCTGCCACTTGCCCAGCTGGCGCCATTTTCGTGGGTTCCCGGGAGACACAGCGCAGAGGGGTCATACGCACACCCAGACGCCCAGACGAGACCTCACAGTTCCCTGAAGGTGCCGCCACCTGCGCAACTGGCGCCATTTGGCGCTGCCTCCTGAGAGGCACAGCGCAGTGGTGTCGTACTCCTGACACCACTGCGCTAACATGTACTACTTAGGGTACTGCGTCATCTAAACATTTCCTGTGAGTCGTGGGACGCGCAAGCCCCTCATGTAGATTACATAACAACATGTGTTCCTTGTCATGTTACCATCCGCGCAACGCGAACCCACTGCCATGGCCACTTATTTCATATGAACTTGATCTGTCTGTTTTTTTGTTTTCCGTGTGCCGTGGCGACTTGCGGCAATACGCGGTCAGTTGAGAAGGGTCAGTCGACCTATCGAACCGACTCCTGGGAATTTGGCAGAACCAGGAGCAGCCGCGGAGGGAGGCAGAGGAGAGAACCCTGCTCATGTAAGTGTCATCGAAAATTTTGGGCCCCTCTGGGGCCTCAAATCTGATCGGAATCGGCGCGTTCTCCCAAATAACCGATCATAACATTCACAATGCGCCGGAACTCGGATGACGTGTCAGTCAACGACCACGTTTCGATCAGCAGCGAAGCTAGAAAGGTGTCGGCGAAGATAAGCTGAGCACAGCACTGGGGAACTTCAGTTCGAAGTGCAACGGCGCCGCTGTAGCGACGAAAAGAGGGAAGAAACATACCAAGCAAGAACTCACTGCCGCACGATTATCACCGATTGTCCAGACGCGACGCGCGGACTGCAAAAGCAGCAGACTCTGGAGCCAAGCTGGCTACACTTTGATGACGAGGATAACGACGACAGCAACGATGATGATGCTGATGCTGATGCTGATTATGATGATGCTGATGCAACTGATGATGCTGATAACGAGGAAGATGAAGAAGACGATGAAAATGACTATGCTGATGATGGTGGTGATGCTGATGCTGTTGATGATACTGCTGATGCTGATGCTGCTGCTGCTGATGATGATGATGGTGATGATGATGATGATGATGATGATGATCGCACTCCCCTGAGCGCGCCAGAGAGGGGGGCAGTTCAGCTGCCCTCTGCCGCGGGCCTCCTGATGAGCAGGCTCCGCACGCCGCGCCCCTTCTTGGCAATGTGGCGGGCACGCGCGCGCAGGAGAGGCAGCAGGCATTCGGGCCCGTACCTGTGCGAGCTCCTCAAGGAGTTAAAGGTAGAAAAAAGCAGGTCGTGGACAAGAAACAAAGAGAACAGCTGCTGACTAGACTGGCATGGCATAGTGCACAGCATACGCGCATCGAGGCTCTGATTCAAATATTCGACTGGCAGGAAGGGCAAAACAGAATGGAGCAAGCTCAGGACATGAGGGCAATCGAAGTAATGCTGGACGTGGTCGCCGCCTGTGGCCAGGCAACCGAAACGGCAGGTAAGACGGCCTTGCCTATACCTGGCAGAGGTCGCCCACGCGTTGCAGATGGTTTTGAGAATGGCCGCAGCCACAAATGGGCCGACGCGCGCGCAGGCAATTTGGAGCCTGAGCACCGCAAGGTCGATACTAGAGGCATCGGCAAAAGGAAAAGCGAACCGAATTCGATTGCCCAGGAGAAAACTCGCGGAGCTACAAGGGGCCTCAGAAAGCAATTTCTTCAAAATCTGTCTCTGCAACTCGTGAGTGTCCTCGTCGAAGTGGTTCCACGGCAGGGCAGTTAGTCGCTCGTAATTGTGAATCAGGTGGAAAACAATGGACTCGGCACGCCATGCCGGGTATCGCTTGACCATCAGAACATCCAAGTCCTCTTCCTCAAGCTCATGAAAGCGCTTCCGAATGCTATCAAAAACCTTAGACCGAACAGCGACCCGATACATGGCAGCCTGGTTCTCCAGCACTAGGTTGCGCGGGGCAATGGGCCAATGCAACGCAGACGAGAGATTGCGGAGAAGATCAGTGGGGATGCTGTAGAAGGGGCATGCGGTGAGAGTCTGCAAACCTTTGGTTTCCATGCGAAGAGCGTCCTGCGATATGTAACATAGCTGCATCACGAAGGTGAGAACCGAGAAGGCCAAGGAGTTATATGCATAGATACTTTGAGTAAGCCCAAGACGAAGCGACCGAACATGACGGACACGATTAATATATTTCTGAAGCGGAGCGGACCAGGATTTCTTGTAACCTCCAGGGCCCAGAAAGACACCCAAGACTTTGCCACTAGTGCCGTGCATAAGCGAGCGAACGTTGGTGCGAACGGACTCGAACAGGGCGAAATGCTGGTCGTCTGGCATCTCTTGCACGTGCACGATCATACACTTGGCAAGGTTCAAGAGCAGGCCAGTGCAACGGCTGGACCTAATAACATTCTTCAGCACAATCGGAACAGCGAGCAACAGGTTGGATGCCGAGATCTGGATGTCATCTGCAAAGGCACGAGGGGTAGCACAAACAGGAGCTAGCAAATTAGATAATCGGCGCAGCAGCGGGTCGATGCATAACGCAAATAAAGCACCCGACAGCGGACATCCTTGTTTAATGCCTTGGGTGATCGAGTAGCCTGGAAACTTCTTTCCTGCTAGGCATATGTGTGTGTAAATACCGGTGTAAAGGAACCGAATGGCATTCACGATATACATGGGTATGTTCATCATGATTAGCACATCTATGATCCAGTCGTGGCGCAGCGACGGGAACGCGGCGCGGAAATCCAAGAGGAGTAGCCCAGCGTGCGGCATGCCGCGATAGCAGGCGTATTCAAGAATGTCTGCCTCAAGGCAGAGCAAGTTGTCGAGCATAGACCTCTTGCGCACGAAACCCGTCTGGGAGCCTAAGACGCTGTACTGGCATTGTTGGCTAAATGGTTCGCATATGGCCAATGATACTATTTTGTTATCAGTGTTGCTGAGAGCAATAGGGCGCACCACAGACGCTTCCCGAGAGATCTCAGAGGTTCCAGCTTCGTGAGGGCAGATGGCCTTAGGGAGGTATACCGTGAGAGACTCGTTGAAGCCTTTATGCGGGGGCCCATATGTAGGATTGTCCAATATAGCGAGATAAACTTGATACAAGGCATTGTGAGCAGCGTCTCCAGCGAACCGCCAGGCACTGTAGGGAATTCCGTCAGGGCCAGTCGCGCTGTCCTTGCGGCTGACGAGCTTACCTATGAAGCTATGCAGGTCGAGCGTCCACTCGATACCTGGGGCAACCTGCTGAATCTCACTGCTCAACAGTGTCTTCTGGAAGTGGTATCCCCTGTCCTGAGGCTTCGCGGCATGGACCCGCCCCCAGTGGGGCGCAAGGTTCTGAGCGCTGACTTCGAGATCAGGCGAGGGGTTCCCGGTGGGGTCGGGGACCGAAACCAGAACGATTCGGCGCCTTTTGGGAGACCACTGTCGCAGAAGCTGGTGCAACCTGAGGCCTCGATCGTCGTCGGGGGCTCCGCCACCTTCGACGTGTTCGCGAATTTCTCGCTGAAGCAGAGAATGCTGGAGCTCGGCCATTTCCCGATAAAAAGACACAGAATCTCTAAAACAACATTCATCAGCATGAACATGTAGACTAAGATGAGGAATAGCCTGGATACACCTCCGAACGTCCCAAGACTTGCCATCCCGAACAGCCCGTAGAAACTTAAGGTAAACCGACAACTTCTGCGCATCATTGTTGGGGCCTCGGAAGAACATGCGAGTCATCAGAGCATCCTTGGCAACATACATCGCGTCTTTGACGGACAGGAGGTACTCGAACGGGTCCCTGGGCATTTCAACCGAACTTATGGCAGCGTCA